TAGTTTCATGGGTATCCCAAACTCTATTAGAATATTGTACAATACTTCCCTCCTAACTGAATCATAGGCTTTCTCGAAGTCTACAAATAGCTGATGAACTGTCTCACTGTACTCCCATTTTTTCTCCAATATATGACGAATGCAAAAGATGTGATATGTATTTGATTTGTTACGTCGAAACCCACACTGATGATCCTCAATAATTTCATCTATATATGGACTTAACCTTGAAAGAAGAATATTGGACAAAATTTTATATGAAGTTGATAGAAGTGATACCCCTCGATAATTACTACAATCAGTTTTATCGCCCTTCTTGTGAAGTAATTAGATTGTGGATCTTAGAATGTAACATTTCTCCTCCTGCTCGAATAAGTTCTGCCGGAATTTGATCAATACCTGGCGATTTATACCGTTTCAGTTCTGCTATAGCACTTTCAACCTCACAAGGGCTAGGATCAGGTATTAACGACTCAGCTGTATGGATTTCTGTCTGCCTAACAGCACTGAGCCTATGTACATTCATAACTGAGAGACGTAGTCCCTCCACCTATTCAAAATGTTGTGGGAATCAGCAAGCAGATCACCGTTCTCATCCTTCACTAAGTTACTCCTAGGCTTGTAACCCCTCTTAAAGTCATTTATTCCTCTATACAGGTCTCTAATGTTCTTGTGCTTACTGTTCATTGGAAGCTCATCAATTTTGTCTTTCAGATATTCCCTCATTTTGTTCCTGAAATGACTGCTGGTTTCACGTCTTATGTTGTTCAAATTAACCCCATTTAACTCGCTTGGATCCTACAAACACTGCAATTTGGCCTGCTTTCTTTGATCTAATAATTTTGAGCATTCTTCATCGAACCATGGCTTATGCTTCTTCGGTTCATAATTACCTAGACTCTCCTTGGCAGACATGTTTATATTCTCTCTAATAGTTTCCCAAGCTTTATTAACATCCACCTCAGTTTCCAAGTTTTCCAAAGCCGCAAACCTATTTGAGATATCAACACAATACTTCTCTTTACCCTCTACCTCATTTAATTTCTTGAGATTGAACCTCTTCATATGAATTCTGTGCGTTGTTTGCTTGCTAACTAAATCTTTAGAGAAATATGTTTCCTAAATAATCTTGTTTATCCAGTCTGTATAATTTATAATTTATCATCATAAGGATGAAACAAAAAACTAGAAAACACAAGAATAAATATGTAAGATTTGAGGCTTTCACCTGCAGATTTTNCGGCGGTGACTATGAAGAAAGCAGTCTTCTGGGATTTGGCACCTGCAGATTTTGCAGACTGCTTTTCCCGGTTCTCACGGTCTCCTCGCTTGCAGATTTCTTATATTTTTTCTTCTACCCTGAAGATGGAGGCGATACGTTCCTCCGAAACGTCGGTTAACACCACATATACACGATGCCAAATCCCAGAAGACTGCTTTCTTCAAGAATAAATACATTCGCGTACTTACGTACTCATTGGCTGCACTGTCTTCACAGAAGCTTGGGTTCCTTTAAAACAGTCTTCATTTTCCTAAATTATCCATCCGACTTCTGTGGTTATGTTTCTTGACATATAGTATCATTCTCCGAGCTGAAGTTGCTAGCCTCACGCACAACCCACATCCTGGAAGAACAGTCACTGTCTTTAGACTGGCCCTACTCTATGACCTATGAGGTAAGCTATGAGCTTACTTCACTGCTAGCACAGAACTTTAGGTGATAGGCCACTGAGACCTACCCAACACAGTACTGTAGTCCAGGAGGAGGGCACACAAACATACACGCGAATTTCAACTGTATTCGAATGTTCCGGGTAACTACATGACATTGCTATTGCATATTTGTGCAAAGCATGCTAAGGAACGTTTCATATGTAGAGACTTACCGAATAATATTTGGATAATAAAATACGTATAAAAATGATAATATTTTTGTTACTCCGTGTAGACCCACAATTAAGTTTTGTAACAAATTCCATAAAATACACGTTCATATTACTTGGTATGGTCTTGTAAATTTATAAATTTGTAATCGTATAATCCATTTTAAAATGNGAATTTATTTGTCGCGATATACCCCGCGATACGCGACAATATTGACGTGCTGCCTAAAAGCCAAAATATCGAAGTCGAAGCAAACGTCCATTGCCAGCCAACGGCTAGGTAAATATTGTTCATTCAGTGCAGTCAGCTGTTGCTAGGTAACGACTGGCTACACACGTTCCGAGGGTACGCTGTAAACAAATACACGGCTGCAGATATGATAAAACACAACGCGATCAAAAAGGAGCTGACTAGAACCTTTCGAGGCGGTGTCCGCTATCGTGGTCATCATGGTCGCCTAACAGTTACAACCAGGAATGAGCCATCAGTTCAGAAGCTCAGACACAGATGTCAGACACAAAAGTCAGAAGTCAGAAGTGAATTCTTTATGTGGTGTAGATGCAATAAGTTTTAGAGAGTCATCATTGTTCGAAGTTACGAAGGGCTACAAATAGAGTAAATTTGAAAGTGTTATAATTAATTGTAGTTCCGTCTAATGAATATCTGATAAATCGATTCGCCAATCCATACCCACGTCTAAAGTCACTAATACACGTGACAATATAATAAATCATTCTATGAATCTCATATGATACGTGTATATTTAACTGTTTTTATTTTCCATATTAAGTCCAAACTTAAAAAACTACATGTATATATTTATTTATTTATAATTAATTCATTTTATCAAATAGAACGCATATTTGATATTCTTTTAGCAGTAGAAAATTTTCTTTCTCTGAAACGTCATGAAGTAATATACCAGTTACACTCTTCTAATTAGGCGCCTCTTCAACTTTAGCGTCGTCAATGTTGTGAAATTCATCTCTGTAGTTGATAAAACTGAATTAAATGGCATATAAATTAGGAAACATGAAAATTGTTTTAGTCCTTATTGATTCATAGTGCACACCAGGAAACCTACATTACCAGCGCGGAAATTTGTTTGTCACGACGTAGCTGACGGAAACTAATTACATTTTCCTGCCAAGATGCCGTGTAATGATACTAGTGGCAACAGCTTAGCTCTTGCATTTGCAGCAAAGTGTGTGAGGCAAGTTATATCTGAAATCCTTACTAACAATTATTTCAACTGAGCAAAATGCTTAGTGTATTTTACTCAGATTAATTAACTTTACAGGGAAGACGCAAATAAAAAAGTAGTAATAGTGATAATGGCCGCGCCATAGCTCAAGCGGTTAGTCGCTGGCTTCCCACCGCGGCGACCCGGGTTCGATCCCGGGTCTGGTCAAGTGGGATTTGTGGTGGACAAAGTGTCGCTGGGGCAGGTTTTCTCCGAGTACTTCAGGTTCCTCTGCCAATCTTCATTCCACCAATTGCTCCACAATCACCCTCACCTATCATCTGGGGCTGGTACAATAGGCCAGAAGTGGCCGCAGTAAAAGGGACTTAGTCCCACCCCACTAGCAATAAAAAAATAGTGATAATAATACGTAGTAAGAGAGGAAGCAGTAGTAAGTTTACGTGCAACCTAGAAAACAGGGAACTGTGGTTTTAATTTCTATAGTCTCAACTCCTTCCTTCTCATTTTCCCAGAAAGACGACCGTATGAACGATTACAAGACTCTGCCTCACCGAACAAGTAGAACTAAATGTTTCCGTATTTGTAGGTTTCTCGAAGTACATTGACCTGGCATTAGAATTTATCCGACAGCAGTCGTGGACCGAAATTGCCTAACAAAATTAATATCGATTTGTCTATGAAGATTATGAATGAAGAAGAAGTTGAACATTCAAGTTTCCTTACAAGGTCTGGCGGTCAACTAGAAATTTCCTCACTACTTTTGCCGAAAAGATTTTCTTTTTCAAGACAGGAAATACATATTTAATAGCTAATATACTGTATGTGATTTGGAGGGATTCCAAAAAGACACTGTAGCATCCTCATTAAATACACTTTATATATGCCGTTGACAAGTTCCTGCATTTTAATTTTCCAGATGTTGAAACTAGAAAAAAGTGGAAGAAGTGACAAGTGAATAATTTCTTTCTTGAAGAATTTACGTACCAGTGTCTGACAACTACATCTTGGCTGACATCTCATTACGTTTTGCAAGCTCACAACAAGCTGAACGACATTGTAGCGAAATGTATGAAAACTTTTAATTAAATCATCGTATTACGGGCGGCATTTAACGGATTTTGCATGGAGATTTGAAATTTGAGGTTCTCATTGTTTTGGCTCTGAACAATAATACCGTTTGGGATGCGGCTCCCTGTGGTCTAGGAGATATATGTCAATATTTCGGAAGAACTTGCTGCTTTCATTTTGAAGGTAGACCCTTAAAAATGGGGGCAGTAAGTTCTTACTAAGTACTAATAAATATTTAACAGGCTGCAAGCCATCATATTCCAAAAGAAAATAAACTACATGACTGAAGATAATTAAGGAAGTACTCTATTGAAGCATAAATTTAATCATATATTACAATTGTATATATCTGTTTGTTAGTAAAGGTGAAGGCCGTACAGACGAATATAAAAATCCTGATGAATATGACTTCCTGTGCTGTTCCATGAAATAATATATATTCCAAAGTTCTAACATTTTACTTCCCTGTAACAGCCCGTGGGGGCCCATAGGACCCATCAGGGTTGTGAGATGCTGAGGTTCCCACATTTTCTAGACAATCGGCTCACAGATGGCGGTGAGGTCAGCCTTGCGCGCCGGCCGCCCTTTAACCCAGGAATATTCCTGTTACCCATTTGTGTTAGAGGCTGAGTCGACCCCAGGGTCATAGCGCGGTTGGAAGAATTAGGTAAATTGAAAGATCCACCTCATCGGTATTCGATCCCGCAACCTTCCGGCTTGTAGCACATTGCCTCAACCAACTACGCTACCGAGTGTCCCTCTGAAGTTTTACTTATTCACAAAAATTGATTTTAATTTATAAGCTGTTACTTTGTAACATTTATACTTAAAATACAGAGTAACCACAGGCATTGAAGTCCATGTACAGTAACTGTAAATATAATAAGCCATCAGAACTCAATAATCATTGAAAATTCAAGCTCTTTTAGATTCAAAACAAATGTAGGTTGCCTTGACATCTTACACAGCATCCAAACTTGCTTTATTATTTTATTGTTGTTCCTACTTAGAATTGGATGACCTTACTAAAGTAAGTACAATAAAGAACATCTGATAAAACACTGTAACATAAATCTAAATAGCATACGAACAAGCTTTATTCTTTTATCATTATTCATCACCGTGCAATAAGCAAGGAAGGATTTGCTGCACCATGCTATTGTTTTAAACTGTCATAAACACGAATGTTTCATTGTAAATAAAATGAGACCAAAATAAAATTGAATATTGTGTTATTTAATAACGTTAAGAACAAGATCTGATTATTTTATCACGTTTACACGTCATGTTAATACCTTAATTTTTATGTTGTGTTTATACAGCAATAATGTTACGTGGTGTTGACAGCTAAATGTAGGGTTAGAAAGTAAATCATTGTTTTGTGTCAGGTTATGCCCCATGCTGTTACAGAGAGCAATCAGTTTGGGTACATGCCACGCCTATAATATTTCGTTGTATAATTTATTCTTGAGGGTAACTGTAAGCATTGGATATAAAAAATATTTTTACTAGATAAATTGTAATTTAATTTAGTTGTACGCTTAATTTCAGTTTAATGCGTAATGTCGAGGAAATGGAATTATTGAGATAAATACGTTCATAAAAGAATCATTTTTACATGAACTGTTAGTCATAGAATACACTTACAGGTTAACGTGGACTTTCTCAATAACATAAAAGAATAAGAACTTCTGGGAAGAATTAATCACCTAATTTTTTTTCACCACATATTTAGTGTCTGACACGATATGGACTGCATACAAAACACGGCTTCGGGTAATTCTGTTGCTGCGTGTTTATACATTGCAGCGGGGATATAGTATTACCGAGTCGTTGAGTCTCGGAAACTCGCATTGTTTATCTGTTCAGAAGGATTATAACTTTTTATATTTCACACGTGTTGGAAGGATTAACATACATAGACATTCATTGTTGGAAAATGTATTAATATAATTTGATTAATTCCAATCAAATTATAATCATAATACTTGCTTTTTCCAGTTGTTCCTGTGCTTAATTAATTAAGCACTACTTCGTGAAGACGTGTGGGGGAGTGCATGTATGTTACACGGTAGTAAGCATGCTTCCAAACAATAGATGCGTACCGACAAATTTGTCAAAAGTCACACAAAAGTTAGTGTATTATTCCTATATTTCGCCATTGAGAATAAAACCAAACTTCATTGTACAAGATAATATATTTCTGAGAGAGAGCTGACAGTTCACACAATAAAAGACTGGACTTTTTTTCTATTTTTAATCTATTTGTAAATGTTCTTAGGAAATAGGAATATCGGATAACCTGTCCCTCCGAGCAAGTGCGGAGACATTACCTTCAAAAGGCCATCATCATCTACATCACCACTTGAAAATTATGAGCTTGTGCATATCTTTCTTCATAGATTAATCTCACATTAAAAGTAATATTGTTCCTGTGCTTAATTAATTAAACACTAGGTCATGAAGACA